AAGTACATTCAAGAGATTCTGTTGTGTCAGTAGACAGAGGGGTTTTACTAGTTTTAAGATTAGAAGAAATCTGGTTGAAATATGTTTGCCATTGTTCAGTCTGTAAACATTATTTTAAAGTAATGCTCATGACTGACAATACTAAATTCCATATCTGGCTTATTCTTTCATATTGGTACAATGATAGGTTGATGTTTCTAAAAAGCCTTTCTTGAATGCAAATAAATTTTATGAAGAAAAATCAATAGAAGAAACAGGTTCTTCTACTGCCTATCTGTGTGCTTTTAATCAGGATAATTAGGATTTTTTTGAAGAAAGTTCTAACTTATTTCAGCTAAGGAAGGTTTACTGAGAGTTACACAGTATTTATAAGAAAGTACTCAATAAAGCCTTGAAAAGCCAAATGAAATCACAACAACTCATCAATCTTTTACAAGAATTTGCAGAAAAAATTGATAAGATATCTAAAAACTCATCTGAAGACTCATCTGAAGTTAAAGTCAATAGTAATAAAGAAAATTAGAAGTTCATACTGTTGAGTTCTAAAAAAAGATGTAGAAAAGGTTGACTGGTAAGCACTAAGCATCTTATATCGGCAAGTGAACCAAAAAAAGGGACCAAAAAACAGCACAGATATTGTAAAAAATATAGCAAAGTTGGTTATTACCAAAAAAGCTATAAATCATAATTTTAATAAGATAGTCTATCTATATACTTTGTATATACTGTATAGCTCAATATATATATTATTTGAGAAAGCTAATTGTTAAATCATAGTCTAGGTATTACTAAAGTCAAATACAGTCTGGGTTAATTTGGTTAATATACTCAAAATCTATATTAATAGTGATAGTACATATATTATTGTTAGAAGATTTGTGTTTTAGTATCTTATTTTTTTACTTCATTTGTCAATTTAGCATATAACCACATTTTGCTTTAAATAATAAGTTATATCTACTTGGCTTATGGACACAAAATAGCAGAATTAGTGTTAACTTTAGTATTAAGGCACTTGAATGTTAATAATGTTAACCATCCTTATGTCTACAAGTATATGAATTACTAAGTTTATAGATATAAGTCCTAGCATTATTAATAATATATCGAATATATGATGTAATTGTTTTTTTAACTATTAGTAACATTGGAGCCAAGTTCCTAATTCTAATACGTACAAACATGTATATGGGTACTAACTTTGGTACTAATTTGGTATGTGTGTATATAAATACAAATGTTGTGGTAAAAAATAATATAGAATGTATATATGTACATATGTATGTATACATATTTATACTTGGGGTTAGTAGTGATAGGCAGCTTTATATGAATTCTATTGTATTTCAAATTTGTATAATATATGATCTACTATATATGGGTGTGCTATAGTGCATATGTATTAAATTATATAAATCTTTATTATATATTCAATATATTATAGTAAGACAGTAAATAATTAAGTACTTAAAATTAGTAGGTAAAATTACAATTTGTATAAATTACTAAAAGTTATAAAATAAAAAAAATTGATGTAATATTTCTTTAATAAAATTACAAAGTTGGGGAATATCTAAAGCAGTGATAAGTTATATAATTAATATATAAATTTATATTAAATTAACTTAGGGTTATGCCATTTTAGATTAAAGTTAGATTAGATTTTAGATAGTTATATATATGCAAAATTGCTTTCTTAAAATTTAGCTTAACTTACTCAAGGTAGATTTAGACTGCTGTTTTTATATTTTTAGTTTTTTTTCTTGTATTACTTCGCTACAAGCATCAAAATTCTATAATTTGATTAATTTGATTGGTTAATAGTTATATAATTTGATAATTCCAAATATCTAAAGTTATATACCCATGTGATTTTGAAGTTTTAATCATTTTAATTAAAATTTTGCAATTTTGGTTGGTTGATTTACACAAAAAAGTCATGTAAATATATGGTTTTAGATAATCTCCAAATATAAAAAGTAGACAAATCATGATTTGCGATGATTATCAAAATGGAGAGCTCTGATTAGCTGGTGTTAACAGATGGATGAATGTATTTTAATATATAAATAGTACTGTTACAATATATCTGCATTTTTAGATTGCTTTTAGCTATATCAAAGATATAAATATAGTGCAAATTTGCAAAAATCTTTGAATCTAAAAAATTTTGACAAATTTTACAATATCTCATAATCTAGTAATTGAAACTTAGTAATTTTGGTACTATTTAATTTATCTTATTGGTATTAAAATTGCTAAGTTTCAATCACTGGATTACAAAATAATTGTATTTAAGTAATATTTGTAAATATCTAAATAACTCATCACAAACGAGTGGTCCAAATTAACAATTTTGGTACCATTCAATTCCTCTTAATGAAACAGTTTAAATAGTATTAAAAATACTAAAATTGAATCACTGGTTAGTGAGATATTCACAAAAAACATTTTGCAGCATAGTCTAACACAAAACTTTTAAAAAAAAATTAACTTCAATACCAATCTATGCTGTTGATATTAAGAGTTTTACACATTTTTGACCATAACTTTTGATGTACCGGACCAATTTGGATTAAACAACTACCATTGGATTCAGCTCACTGAGACGGTTCTAAAGAGCACAAGATCATGTGATTCTGATCACTGGATCCCGAGATCGGCAAAGA